AACTCAGGTCCTTGCACTTGCGAGGCAGGTGGCAGAACCACTGAGCCAAATCCCTGGCCCTTTATTTACTTTTTATTTTGTGATAGGGTCTCATTAAATCAGTAAATTTCCCAGGCAAGACTCAAACTTCAATCCTCCTGCCTCAGCCCCCAAGAGTGCTAGGATCACAGGCATGGGCCACCAGGCCTGACTAGGCCAAGTGTCTGTGAGAAGCCCCCACCACTTCTCCCCATCTGAACTTTGGGGTTCACAATGGCACTTGTTGAGTCTCCCAGGTTCCCACTTTCAGCTGAGTAAGAATCACCTGGAGAGCTCAGCACACAGCAATTCCTGGCCCCAGCCCATCGTTTTCAAGGCCATGGGTCCAAACAGAAGCCTGAGAATCCATATTTCTAATAAGTTCCCAGTGTGGCCCTGATGCTGCTGCCCCAGGAGCCCACTGTGAGAAGCACAGCTCTGTATTCATCTGCCTGCCTATCACTCAGGTCACTTCACTGGGTCTGAGTGTCTCCCCATTCACCCCAAGAGCCCCAGATGGGCCAGGGTCTCTGGCATCCAGCCCCTCACCCCTGCACCGCACGTTCACATCTACACCTTGCTCTACCTTCTCACCAGAGAAACTGTGCCACCCAGACACACAATTCTGCCTGCATGTGAGGGCTTAAGGCAGGCCCCTTGACTGTACAGACACCCTGGAAGCCCTGACTCATAGTCACCTTGTGACAAATGGCAAAGCTGCAACCTGGAAAAGGTGATTCGAGAGTGGGCTCTCAGTCCAGTGCCTCTTCTCTAGCCCATGGTGCTGGGGCCTGAGGGCACCGGCTGCACATAGGCAAGAGCCACAGGAGTCCTGGGATCTGCAGAGGCCCTGCCTCTTCCCGGGCCCTGCTGTCCCCTCTGTAAGGAGAGGATATGGTGTCCATGGTCCCTAAAGGTTCTGTGGCTCCAGCCTTGGTGGCATGTGCTGTGGGACCTGGGCCAGCATCTCTGGCCATGGAGGGACAAGGGGAGAAGCTCAGGGCCTTCGAGTCCACTCACCCACAGCCCACGCAGCTGTCATCCCATTTCTTGTGCACAAAGAGTTCGCCAGGGTTGACGGGGATCACCTGCTCGGAGCCTTCCTCCACAGCCCGGTCATATTCGCCCAGTACCACCTGGTACGTCCGGGAGTCCCTGTGGGTGGAGGCCAGCTTGGTCCAGGCCTGTGGGGAACCTCCCTCCTCTCTCACTCTCACCCACTAGCCCAGCTGCCCAGGTCTCACGCAGGGATAGCAGCTGGGACAGCACAGGGACAGGGAACGGAACTCACGAGATGCAGTGGGCAGCAGTCAGGACCCAGTCAGGGGCAATGAGGCTACCGCCACAGGTGTGGGAGAAGGCTCCATTCTTCTCATACTGCAGGGAGACCTGGTGGCCAAGGAGGAAAGGACCTGAGTGTCCTGGACCCCACAGTAAGGATGACAGCCATGTCTTTGTATATTGTGCTCCAGAGGGCACTGTTGACCCAGAAGAGAGTGGCACCCTCTGAGATGTGCAGTGCACAAGCTATGTAACTGCTGCTGGTGGTCCTTTTTTCCACCGGGATGACATTCTAATTTGCCCATGCCTCCCCACCCTTGGCTCTATGACCTCTCTGAGAACTCCAACACTCTTCCCTCTTGGGTGCCCCCGACTCTCCTGTTTTTCTGAGCCTCAGGTCTTTCAAGGCCTCTTGGATCAGCTGAAGCAACTCAAGCTGAGTCTTTGGCCTCTCTCCTTGTTCCCCACACATTTGTTTTCTAAAAGCTCCCTCTAGACCAAGGATTGGCAAACTATCACCTGTGGGCCAAATCTCCTCATGATTGGTGTTTTTATTTTTTGGTTAGGTTTTTATCTTTTCCTATTCTGGGTACTGAACACAGGGCCTTTGTGCTGAGCTACATCCTCAGTCTTTTTTTTTTTTGGTACTGGGGATCGAACGCGGGTCCTTGCACTTGCACAGCAGGTGGTGAAACCACTGAGCTAAATCCCCGGCCCCCTCAGTCTTTTATGTACATTTTGACACAGGGTCTCCCCAAGTTGCAAAGCTTGTACATGAAGACTTTTTGAAGTAGATTCATCCTCATTCCTTTCCCCATTGCTTGTTGCCGCTATCAGGACACAGTGGCAGTGTAAGTCACTGTTTCAGATGCCATGTGGCCAGCAAAGCCTGTGTTGTTTACCCTGCAGTCCTCACAGAGGGGCCTGAGCTCCCACCCAGGAGAATCTCTGTCACGAGGGAATGTGTTACATCTTTGCTATCTCACGTGGCTACCACCGTCATATGGCTACTGAGGATCTAAAATGTGGCTGGCTCTGAAGGTCTGAATTTTAACATGACTTCATTTAAATTAAATTTAAACAGCCATGTGTGGCCAGGGGATGCTGAGTTTGACGCCACAGCCAGGCTAGCTCTCTGTGCTTTCTTCACTATGCCCTAGAAAGCCCCTACCCAATAGGTATATGCCTGTAATCTCAGGTACTCAGGAGGCTGAGGCAGGGGGATTGAAAGTTTCAGGCCAGCCTTGACAATATAGTGAAAAAAAATTTTTGGGGGGTGGTACCGGGGATCAAACTTGGGACTTTGTGCTTTCGAGGCAGGGGCCGGAACCACTGAGCTAAATCCCCCATGAAAAAAATATTTAAAATAATTTTTGCTGGGTATAGTTATCTGTAATCCCAGTACTCAGAAGGCTGAGGCAACGAGATTGCCATGGCAAGTTTGAGGCCTGGACTATACAGTGAGCTCAAGGCCATCCTGAAATGCATAGCAAGACCCTGTCTCAAAAGACCACAACTAATTGAATAAAATTTAACATTTTATTTTTTTATTTTTTATTTTTATTTTTTTGGTACCGGGGATCGAAATCGGGTCCTTGCGCTTGGGCAGCAGGCATCAAAACCACTGAGCTAAATCCCCAGCCCATAATTTAACATTTTATAAGCGAGAGACTACAGATGTACAGGGATGTAGCTCAGTGTTGGAGCACTTTCCTAGCATGCCACTGGTCGTAGGTTCAATCCCCAGCACTAAGAAAACCACAAAACAAACAAACAAACAAACAAACCATAATCTCCTTGTTCTCAGTACTTTCAGCCCTGTCGTACAATTGAGAAATCCAGAAATGAGTCCCCCCAAATCTTCCTCCTTGCAGTTCCAGTTACTGTGCCAAGCCCATAAGCACCACCCCCTCCACAGATTTCACTTTTTTTTTGGTGGTACCAGGAATCATGCTTAGGATCTTATGCTTGCCAGGCAGATGCATTGCCAATGAGCTACATCCCCAAACCTCACAGATTCCACTTTTGCATTTCCAGCAGCCCAGCTCAGGCCATAGGCTGAATGAGCAAAGCCTCCAGGGGAAGTGGACTATGCAGGGATTTCCAGGCCTGTGGAAGTGGAAGTGGAATATGGAAAGGAAGCATATCCTTTCTGGGCCATCAGACCTTGGGGCCAGGGCCCTGGAGGGCATGAGAGCAGCTGGTATCACTCTTACCTGCCAGGGCCAGCTGTAGGGAACTGCATCCTCACCATTGACCACACGGCCCACGGGGCTGTAGAAGGGCTGCCCACAGCCCGAGGCTAGAGGAGAGAGTGGAGTGACAGTCAGCCAGAGGGTCCCGAGAAGGAACCAGAAGGCCAGAGTCCCAGTCCCAGCTGTGCCACAAGTTGGCTGTGTGGCCCTGTGCAAGCTCCTTCCCTCTCTGGTCGGCAGTACCATGTTTGAACGGGCATTTGGACCAGGGTGAGGGTGTGCAGAGTCCCAGGAGTCCAGGGCCTCCTGCAAAGGGAAGACTGTACAGTGCCTGTGGTGCGATGAGCTCTCAGAAGTGGAAGGCAAGCTCAAGGACCCGAGTTCGATCCCCGGTACCAAACAATTAAAAAATAAATAAAAAATAAATAAATGTTTAAAGAAAAAAAAAAAAGAAGTGGAAGGCATTGTCACAGGGAGTGGCAGCTTTGAAATAAGCCTGCCTGGCTCAGGGGCACCCAGCCTACCACTGGTTTTAGGATTAACTACTTTACCCCTTTGAGGATCAGTTTCCTCATCTGTAAAGTAATTGTATTGACTTCACGGGGCTGCGATGAGAACTAAATGAGCTAATTGAAGAAAAACCTCGCAGCATTCTGCCTGGCATACGGTAAATGCTCAATAAACGTTACTGTTACAATTATCGTTCATCAAGGGAGGCCACTTGCACGGGGTGGCCTGGAGCTGGATGGAATAGGGTAGAGACCAGGAAAAGGAGAGGTCCTGGACGTGGAGCTGGAGGAGGAAGTGTGAGAGGAGAGTTGGAGTGGAAATTCTCACCCAACATCTAACCGCAGAACAGGAAGTCCTGACTGTGAGACTGGGCTCACTGCCCCAAGAGCCCCCACTGCAGCCCTGGGTACTCCCAGTCTTTCTCCCAGCCTGCTCCATCCCCAGCTCCTGCAGACCCAGTTCCTGCTGCAACTCCACAGTCACACCCAGGTACAACCTGAGACTCCTGCCTGTGGAACCGCGAGTTGGGTGGGGGGAGCCAGTGCAGGAACCCTACTTCAAGGCCTCCTCAGGCCGTGCACCACAGGGAACCCAGGCCCAGGCTGGGATCTTACCAAGGGCCACAAGGAGAAGGGAGCTCAACAGCCGGAGGAGCATCGTGAGCTTTGAGCTGATGGGAAAGAGACACAATCCGGGCCTCTAATAAAGGGCAGAGGGCAGAGGGCTGAGGGAAGGGGCTGGACTGGGCCCCATTCCCACAACAGGTGACAGAATATCTATCGGGTCCCCCAAGACCCAAGGCCACAGCACCTCCCACTGCAGATAGCGAAGGAACACTAATAGAAGACCCAGGTGTCTGCACAGGTGGCTTTGAGTAGCCAGCTGATAACAAGGAAATGGAAAAAAGATTTGTGTGTGAACAAGCCAGGCTATTTTGAGAAAGAACACGGCCCTGGAGCTGGCCAGGCCTGGATTCAAATCCTGCCTCTGCCAGGTTCAAGCTCGGTGACCTTGAGTGGGTCATTTCATGTCTCTGAGGTTTAGGTTTCTGGTCTCTAATGTGGGATTGATATTGTCGCCTTCAATTAAAATAATTGTGCTGGGCCGGGGATTTAGCTCAGTGGTTTTGCCGCCTGCTGCGCAAGCGCAAGGACCCCAGTTCGATCCCCGGTACCAAAAAAATAAAATAAAATAAAATAAATAAATAAAATAATTGTGCTGAGCACTTTCCCTGCCTCCCTCAGGCAGTGTTCTAGGGGTACAGGCAGAAACAGGCCCTGTCCCAGTGCTCCCGGGGCTTGGGTCAAGGGGGAGAGACAGAGACAAATCAGCAAAGATCCACGAAGGCTGTTTCCAATTGTGGCAGCGGCAGATGCTGCAGAAAAGGAAACAGGAGGCTTGGGGTGGGGGTGGGAGCAACCTTTGAGCTGGGGAGCCCAGAGGGTGACACCGGGGTGGAGGGCAGCATTTGACTGAGTGAAGACAGAGAAGTGAAAGGCAGCCCAGGGAGGTCCTGGCGGCAAAGCACTCCCGGTGGAGGGGTCGGCAGGTGCCCAGGTGTCAGGTCTGGAGCTGGCATGGGCCCGCTCCTTCAAGCAGAGGGAGGCTGGTGGGGCTGGAGCTGAGGCATGGTGTGGGGGCTCTGGGAAGTCACAGCTCCCGCAGCTGGAGACACAAGTGACCACACAGGTCCACTTCCAGTGCAGCCCAGAGTAAAGCTGGCCCACACAGTCCAAGGGATGGGGTCGAGCGTGGTCCCGGCACTGTCTTCTGTCCTCAGAGACCAGACACCTCCCACATCCTCAGGTGAGGGATGAATATGTGCCTCATACTCACAGCAGTCGAAAGAGAGAAGCACAGCAGCCACTACCGTGTTTACCACACAGAACGTTTTCATTGCCTTCAAATCTTCCCCCAAGCAACCAGCTACCTGCTTTCTGTCACTATGGTGTTGCCTTTTCTAATCCTTACATTCAAATAGTCTCACACAGTACAGTGTGTACCCTTTGTTTCCGGGTGTCTTTCAGACGTATCCATTCACATGTGGTGTGGAAGGTGATAACTATATTATTTAAAATATCTGTACATCTCACTAAATAAAAGTGACCCATGGCCGGACTCTGATGCTTTTTCCTGTATCAGTGATGAGAGAACTGAGGGTTCTGATTGATCCTATTCTGCTCCCACCATCTGAAATTCAGAGAGAGAGACACATAGAGAGAGGCAGAGAGAGACAGAGAGAGCAGAGTATGAGGAGTCGGGTCTTTATTCTCAGCATGAGGAGGAAGCCACAGGTTTGTGGGGAGGAGACAAAGAAGAGAAAGACCTGTATAGTTTGAAAAATGTCTTCCTTGGGCTAGGTGTGGTGACACACACCTGTAATCCCACCCATCGGGGGCTGGAGCAGGAGGATCACACTCTCACATAGCAAGAGCCTCTCTCTAAAAGCAAAAACATTTTCTCCTGGGACTGGAGGTGTAGCTCAGTGGTAGGGCATGTATTTAGCATGTTTGAGGTCCTGAGGTTCATCCCCCACCTCAAGAAAAGCAAAAACACCACTTTCTTCCTGGGTGCTGGGAAGAGCAGCGTTGTAAGGACAAAGGGTGAAGTGAAGAGGAGCAGCTGGCACAACTTCTGTCACCCGGGCAAAGCAGGAGGGTGTGGAGGGCTCGGCTCAGTCGGTGGAGACAGCAGCTGAGTGAGAAGTGGCATCAGGATGCATTGTGGGGTGAGAACTGTGTCTGAGATTGTCTCTGTGAAGCGGTAACTACAGCACCTGGCGCCCAGTCACGTTGGTGTGGGAAGTGCTCAGCCCTTCCTTGCTGGCCACTGGCAACAGCCTCCCTGGCCAGGCCTGGCATTGTACAGGTGCTCCGTAAACGCTGGCTGAATAGAGGGACCTGGCGCTCGAGCTGCCCTGAGAATTCGTCAGCACCCTCACGCAGGTCCCCAGTGTGGCTTCCTCCAGCTTCCTGCTGTTGGGAGCCTCAAGGGAGGGCGATGCTTAGTGGGCACTTCCTCGTGGAAGGTGGACATATGGCTGGGCAGTTTCCATTGAGGAGCAGACCCCTCCGTCAACCCACAGGGACCTCTGCCACTGCAATAGTCTGGGCCCAGGGAAATGTGAGGACACACGTGAAGCAGCTGTGAAAATCCCTCACGTGGGATAAAAATAGCCATCCCCTCCCTCCGCCTGTTCCTGTTCTTGCACAGGGTTATTTGCTCAGCTTTGGCACTCAGAGCCATTCCCTAGAACCTGAGTGGAGGAAGAAGGAGGGAGGTTCCTGGGTGCTGGCTCCGGGACAAAGGAACAGCCTCCCCCTCCCGCTCCCATTGCAGAGGGCCCGGAATGGACAGGGCCTTGAAAGCCCATCTGTGCAACCCCTGGCACCTGATAGATGGGGACATCATCCCAGAGCAAAGCAAGGACTTCCTCAAGTCCCCTGGCTTGTCACTGCTTGGCCTGGCAGAGGCTATCCTAAGGGAGCAGGGAGGGTTCAAATCCTCCCCCAGTGTCAGGTGCTTATGCAGGTGGCCTTGAGCACATCCGGCCAGGGTAGTAGCTCCACACACAGACACGCAGCCACTTGGCCCTCTGCTGGGGCCCAGGGCAAAGGTCCCTCTCAGGCCAACTGTGGCATCAGGCTCCTGCCAGGCCTGTCCCAGCTTCGGGGCTTCTGGCCAGACATCATCAGCTTTACTGCTGATTAAACCTGGGGTGGGGGTGCCAGTGCAGCTTGAGCCGAACCCCTAAAGGCCCAGCTCTGCCCAGCCCCAGAGGAGGGAGCAGGCCGGGGGGAAGAGGGTTCCATCCACTGCAGGCCTCAGCTCCCAGTGCAGGAGTCATGGGGAAGCAGAAGCCAGGTGGGGTAGAGACAGGGCAGAGAAGTTGGGGAGCAGTTGTCTCTGGGGTCCATTATTTCCAGTTCCCACCCAGTAGTAAGCTCTGTGAAGGCTGAAACCTGATCTTATTTTTCTCACATTCCTAGTGCCTACCTTGGGGATAGCCTGTAATCCCAGCACTTGGGAAGCTGAGGCAGGTAGATCACTGCAAATTCAATGCCAGCCTGGGTTACATAATGGGAGCCCATCTCTAAATTAATTAGTTAATTAATAAAATCCCACTCCCTAGAAGGGAGCCTGGTTTATAGTAGATATTCAACTGCTAATGCTAAGGTGTTTCCTAAAGGAGGCCTAGAATGAAGCTACACTGCTGAAGAATTCTTCAAGTGTCCTCATCCTCCTACTCTGAGGGCACAGAACCCTGATATTCACACAGCGCACAGCTGGAGGCCACTCCCACCCTAGGATGTCCCAGGAAATCTCTGTGGCAGCACTGCATGGTGGCCCTAAATTTTGTGATCCACTAGAACGGAGGCCCTCAGGGCAGGAGGCTTTGTCTGCTTGGTTCACTTCTGGGGCTTCAACTCCTCGGACAGAACCCGGTGGGCACTTAGTAAAGAATCAAAGGTCCTGGGCTGGGGATTTAACTCAGTGGTTCTGCCACCTGTTTCGCAAGTGCAAGGACCCAAGTTCAATCCCTGGTACCAAAAAAAAAAAAAGTATCAAAGGTCCAGTGAGATTGGGAAGTATTGAGATCAAATTTGAGATGGTTGTTTCTGCAGGACTTGTCAGAGCCTTTCATGGACCTATGTTCATTGTGACTTAAGCCCAGGACTTTCTGGAGCCTCATTGCCCTCGTTTTCCAGGCTGCCAGCCCGCCCCTCTCAGATGGA